TATTCTTATATTTTATATTAATTATTTTAGAACATTATAAATGTTGGTGTTTTCATCGACAAATACAAACGCTTTAATAAATAACCCCCCCCCCCCCCCCTTCTCCCTAAAATTTGGATCAAAAGTAGACATATCATGCACTTGAAAGTTGTAAGTTGTAACTTGTATCATACACGTTTGATGGGCCTAAACTCTATATTGGATTTGGGCCTATTGTCCAAACCCACCCTCTTCTCTCCTTGTAAACCTATATAATGTTTTTTTTTCCTTCTAATAATTCCTTTTAATAAATCAAAAAATTTATTAAATGGTGATTGGTCCAACGGTATCTGGTTGATCCATCTTCTTAGAGGTAAGATGTTAAAGTCTTACCATGAAAAGTGTGTAAAATTAATTTACTGTAAATAAATATAAATTTACTTTAAAGAAAAACACGTTATGGGTGTTTGTTTTTAACTTAATAAGCTTAATAAGTGATTAACTTAATTGGATAAGTTATCTTGAGTTGTTTGATTTTAACTTAAGGGCCGTTTACCAAATACATACTCGGTAAGTGCTTACCAATAAAATTTAACACTATTATACATTTACCGGGTAAGATTTTAGTTCACCAAAACGACATCGTATGCAACAATTTACCCGGTAAGTGCTTATCATGGTAAGAGTCGTCGCTCTCACTTAACGGGTAAGACTCTTGGTCCGCGTCTCGCTCTTATCAGGTAAGATTCTCGGTCCTTACCATATTCATCCGATGAGGTAATATGACTTGGTAAGCGCTTACCCAAGTAAGCGTTTGGTAAACGGCCCCTTAATATTAGAAGATTGACTTAACATGTTAAGTTAGCCCATCATATCTTAATGCATTAGATTAGAGAATTTTTTCCAATATTACCTTTGTGCTATAATTTTTAGTCACATGTCTTTATTAAAAAATAAATAGTTTACCAACATGCTTAAATTAAAAATTATAATCAAACAATAATATTTTATTGTTTTAAATATTGTGGTATGAACTCGCTAAATTCATATATTATTTTAAATAATTGATCTTATTTTAATTATTTTAATCGTTTATCAAATAGTTTATTTTCATTCGACATTTGTATAGACATAAAGTTAAAATGGTAATTTTCGTTGTTCAGATTGTCTATTGAAGACAAAAATCAAACAACAACTTATCTTAATTAATTCTGCATAAACACAAATTAATAGATTCAAAATTTAATGGCTGTGCAATTAGCAATGATTTTTCTGTGGACTTCCGAAAATCTCTTTCATGTAGCTTAGCAAGGAAATTTTGGGTCATGGGTACAGGATCCTTTACATGTAATATACCTATTGCTCATGTAATTTGAAATCCCCATTTTGATCAATTGGTTGTAGAAGCTTTTTTATTAGAAGATCAATACATGATGGCCCACTGGCCTATTTCTATGCTTTTGGGCTTCGCCAACCCTTTCCAAAAGTTATATCGGGTTGCATACACGTAATAAGGTCCAAAAGTTATATCGGGTTGCATACACGTAATAAGGTCCAAAAGTTATATCGGGTTGCATACACGTAATAGCCGTATAGAAATTATTGTTTGTTGAATAACATTAGAAGTGTCGATTTAAGAAAACGAATTGTCTGATGTTCTTCGCCTGAAGAACTAATTGGATTGTTTTGTGAACGGAACAAATGAATTGTTTCGATAATTTATAGTATGAACGATTTTTTTTTTGATGAATACAGTTATTAGTGCAAGCTTTAAGCTTGTGTTTTAATGATTGACAAATTGGTTCAGTTTATAGTCACGAGTTTTTGTTAATTAATGGAAAAGTTCACAACAATTTTTAAAGCGTACGATGCGATCTCGGGAAGTGTACTAGAAAAAAGAACGAATAGACAGGTTTTGGTTTTGGGCAACAAAAATCTCGAGTTTTTGGTTATGAGTTAATGCATTCGAATAAGTTCAAGTAATCTTGACTTTGTGGGGTTGCTGCTTGCTTGACAAACAAATTAATTTGATAAAAATAACGGGTTATTTAAAGAACGGTTACAAAAATCCCTGAAAACTTACGACGTAGCTTTTATCTTGGTGGTATGAGGCATGCACTCTAATTTCGAGTGCAGTTGCTCAAAACACACGTACATCCTCGTGTCGGATAAAAAGTTTATCTGATTTTCTATTATAAATAACCAAGCATTTGGGCATTTTTCATGAAAGAATATCTATTATGTTTTGCCACACTTTTGAGAAATATATTTTGGCAATTAATAATACTCATTAATTCTCGAGTAAGGTTTACATCATTTCAACATACTTAGATCCCAGAATACGTTTGGATTTAGAATTAAATTCCGTTCCAATTTCATATTTGATTTAAAGAATTTTCTAGATTTGAAACCCTTAAAATTTATTGAAATCCTATAATCATAGGATTTTCAAATGTCATAGGGTGGTCGGTATTTTATGGGGTTTCTTAAGATTTATGTGTAATAATGTTTAAAAACTTGTTCTATAATAATCCATTTAATAAAAGATTATTTAATTATTTTTACGGAAAAGTCCAAAAAACCCAACCAACTTTACCATTTTGAATGATTTAGTCTTTTTTTGAATGAAAAAACATTAAACTTTCTCATTTTGAACGGTTTAATTCTTAAACTCTTTTTTTTGAATGAAAAAATCATTAAATTTTCTCATTTTAAATGATTATGTCTATGAATATTTTTTTAATAATAAACCATCGAACTTTTCAAAATCGTTAACAACATCCGTTTAACCCCTAAAAAATCCACCTAAAATCGGCTAGGAAAAATTTAAAGTATATAAAAACGTTTTATTCAAAAAAGAATGTAGGTGACCAATTTTGGTTAAAAGAATGTAGGTGACCAATTTTTAAAAGTTCGATGATTTATTTTAATTGGAAAAAAAATGTTCAAGGACTTAAATCACTTCAAAGCGGAGCTCTACCAACTGAGCTATATCCCCCCGAGCCAACTGGAGCATGCATGAAGGAGTCATGGAAATTCACTGAAAAAATCTTTGTGAGATATAGAACAACATATAAGTTATCATGTTTGCATATCCATCATCGAGGGAAGTGGGGTAAATAATCGATACTACTGGAAGAATTCCTCTTTGGAAAAGAACACACACAATGGAACTGTAGACAGTCAAGGGGTTCCCTTATTGAGATCCTTGGGGAAGAGGATCAAGTTGGCTCCAACGAGTGATTAATAATCCCGTTAGACATAAAATGGTAGCTATCATCCCCTTATGAGTAAGTTAAATGATTTTTCCATTAAAAAAAGTACAAAACTTAACCATTAAAAAAGATAAAGTTTAATGAGTTTTTTTTCATTTTAAAAAAATAGTTTAAGGACTTAATAATTCAAAATGAAAAAATTTCGTTGGGTATTTTTAAACTTTTTCTCTTATTTTTTATATATAATTTATAAAAAATAAAATTCAATTCCAATCCAAATCTTATAAACCAAATATTTCGAATTTTCCATAAAATCCAAATTTTTCAAAACCAATTTACAACAAAACACAGCTTAATGTATCACTTGATAGTGTTGATAAAATTTTGCCTAGATAACCATAAGTGTGGTGCCTGATTGGTTTGAGCTTGGCTCCAAAGGTCAAAAGTACCAGGAGGTCTCAGGTTCAAATCCAAGGAGAAATAAAAATCCCCTTATGGTCACGGAGGTTCAAATACGGTGACTCCGAGCTATCTACAAAACAGGTGGTTGTCTTGGAATTAGTCGGCTCACATAGCAGGTTGGATATCCAGGTTAATAATTTTTTTTTTTCCAGACTTGTTGCCACTTTCCAAGGGCATTGATGTAGTTGAAAAAGCAATTGGAATTGGACAAGGGATTTGAGCAACTCTAAATAAAGATGCAATTCTTTTTTCCTTAAAGTTATTATATATTTTTATACTTCAACAATTAAAATAGCAGTTTATTTTCGAGAATAATTTAACTGGGTTCCACATATTTTCATCTGGTATCACGGTTAACATTTACCATTCTAACGACTCGACACATTTGTATATATACAATCTTTGCTCGTCTAGTCCCTTTTCAATGATCTGCAACAATATATGGCCGTCTAGTCATCACTAAAAAGACGTATCGAAATCCCATTTCAACTAGACTTGGTCCATTTATTGGATATGTGTTAGAAGCCCATATATGATATATGATAGGGTGGAGGAGGCTAAATGGCATACATCACTTTCATGGGTACAATGGCTGTTAAGAGTATTGAATGACCACCTCATCTCTAATATCTAAATGTTGAATTTGGATTGTGACCTTTGATTGTCCAACAAAATCCTTGGTCCCATTCCTTTATGCATATTGCCTCCTTTGGTCCCATTCTATTTAATTTCACACCCAAACACACTCATTCTCCTCCATTTCCTTTTTCATAAATTAATTACATTTTTACAATTTTTTTTTTTAATATAACAAATAAATCTTGTTCATCAAAATCAGTATTCTTTGGTATAGATAAGACCATTTGGTCTCCTAAAAAGTCAGGGATTTAAATCTCACCAAAGATAGATATGATATATGTAAGTTTATTTAATGTATTTGTCGTATCTAAATATTATTTACTGAAAAAACTGGTGGTAACGAAGATTGTTGTAATCTTTATGAAATGGTATAAAAATGTTTTTTTTTAATAACATCAAATAAAACCAATGGAATTATTTTGATACACTTTTGAAGTACTTTTAATTTGCATGGAGTAATCTTAAGCCATGCATGATGCATTTGAGAAGATGAACCTTTAATTTGTCACTCTTATGCCCATGCATTATGACTTAAAACACTTCCCTTAGGTTTTTTAATGCATGATATCATATCGTTAATTCTCCGGACAATGAAAATGTAACACTAACCGTACCAGATATTATGGGATTTTACAAAAAAATGTGGGATCTTACAGAAAATGACGAAAAAGAAAACAAAACGCGAGAGTTAAAACAACATGAATATAAAGAGACACAAGATCCTTTTGTTATAAACATGAATATATATATATATCATTACTTATAGCAAACTATAAATTGACGGATTAAATATAAAGATAATATTAATTAAGGGAAATAAGCAGTGGAAATTAATGCATGTATATATTTATCCGTAATTAATTAATTAATTAATTAATTAAACTTCTAATGATGGAAGCTTGAGGGCTATCGTCATCAATGGTGGACAATAACTGGGAGAGACGATCGCTGAGGTCATCAACCTCCTTGTGCAAGCTTCTCACGTAGTTGCAGGTCTCCTGTAACACCTTTGAAGCCGATGCCTGCATACCAATTTAACCATATACAATAATTCAAGATCAAGAGATATATTAACTTTTTCGATTTATTAGAAATTAATATGTTGGTAATGTCTTTGTGAAACCTTAAAAGGAATCTTAATCATTCTTTAAGAATAATTGCGAACATAGACCACAATTTTATTGATTAAAGAGAAGGTATGCATAGCTAGGGATTGGGTAGTTTTTTCGGTTAGAAATATATGGATGTATATGTGTGTATATATACAGAGGTAGGTTTAGGAAAAAACCTTCAAAAGATTAAAAACTGAGTTCATCTGGACTGTATGTATATGTACATGTAAGTAATTGAAATATTTCTTAGTTTTTATAAACATGTAGATACCGGACAAATTACTTGTATACACATGTACATACGGTCCAGATGAACTGTTACTAGGATGTTTCTCAGTTGTTCATTTCTTTTTTTGCGGTTTTTCCCTAAACCTGACTCTCTCTCTCTCTCTCTCTCTCTCTCTATATATATATATAGAATTATACATATACATGTTTTGTACCTTGTATGTATAACCGATATCTAGGGCTGTAAACAAACCGAACGAACGGAGGCTTGTTCATGTTCGTTTAACTTAACCGAACAAACGAACGACCACGAACGATAAATGAACGAAAATCTTTGTGTTCATGTTCGTTCGTTTAGAAATCAGGTATGTTCGTGTTCGTTTATGTTCGTTCGTTAACATGTTAAACGAACGAACATAAACGAACGGACTAAACGAACACAAACGAACGGGTTAAACGAACATAAATAAATATTATTTGAATTCAAAGTATGTAAACAAAAGATTATATATTAAATTTAATATATAAACGAACATAACCGAACGAATATAAACGAACATAAACGAACGGTAAATGAACGAACGTTCACGAACATAAATGAACGAACGAGACTCTTGTTCATGTTCGTTCGTTTAACTAAACGAACAAAAAAATTTGTTCATGTTCGTTCATTTATTAAATAAACGAACATAAATGAACTTCCCGCTGAACGGTTCACGAACGATTCACAAACGGTTCGCTGAACGTTAGGTTCGTCTATAGCCCTACCGATATCTATAACAAATCATTAGGTGTAGGGACATTGAAGATCCAATAATTTTAATTAAAACAAGAAGATTATTGATTGAGTTTTTGTAATGCCCACATTGTGAGTATTAGAAATCTTAACAATATATATATATATATATATATATATATATATATATATATATAATTATAATTATGTTGGTTTCGTTTCTATTTAAATATAAATATATTAAGAGATTTGACATTATATTGAAATTCACGTAGGAATGGATCTTCTTTCAACGATGCATTTGCTTTTCTAGATTTAATTCATTGACACAAGAATAAAACTAATTAACAAATGAATTAAAATTGTTGATGAACCAGAAAAATCAACATTGATTCAAACTAAATTTCTTTTATGATAACTTACAGTTGATTAATTTGAATCTTGAGAAAAATCTGATGAATGAATAACAGAACAATTCAAATATTCGAAAACGGTTTCTTGAATCTTTACAAAAAAAAAAATTAAGGTAATGAAACCTCATGATATATACATACCTTGTTGGAACGACGATTGCGAAGCTCCGGAAGAAGTTGTTGCAATTTGGAGACGAGTTCTATGATCTGCTCGTCTGTGATCCTTGGAGTGGAACCCGACCTTCTGCTTGACATTGTATGTGATCTAATATTTCTTGGTGTAGAAGTTAGCAGTTGAGTTGGGTAAGTGGCTTAGAATGCATATAAAGCTTGTTTGGGGTTTATATATATATATATGGTTGGAATTAAGGATGAAGAGAGGTGGTAGATATGTAATATGTGCATCCATATAAGAGAAAACAAGCCGGTCCGATAATGTTTCGACTGTGACTCTCTGAGTGTGTAGAGGTGGAGCAATGTATGTAGGGATCATGACCACCCCACCATGACTTTTGTAAACCTTTACACTTCACTCTTTCAATGTGAAATATGAAACTGAGCCCTAAATTTTTTGGATTCAATTCTTTTTGTCTAATTACAGTGTTTTATATTTTTTACTATTTTAAAGGGGTGTTTCTGATTGCTTATAAAAACAATTTATTAACTTATTTCGGTATGACACCGGTAATTAACATTTTTTGAGTATTTGGATAAACAGTTTATACCGGTGCCAAATCGTTAATAAAGAGTTTTTGAAAAAGTTAAATCATTGTAACTTATAATAAGTTCATAAAGACTTTTGTAAAAAAATATAAGTTGTTTTAAATAAACAATTCCCAAGTTTCAAGAATTTTTTTATTTAAATAAATTTTATATGTTTTTATTATTTTAAAATTAATTGTTATTTTAATTTTTTAAAATATATTTTATTTGTTATTAATTTGGTCGTGGTCAATTTGAAAAAAGAGTGACGGCAATTGTGGAATTGTTAAGATTTATAAAGAAAGTTGTTGTTGAGAAATTAAAAACATAAAGGTTTTGGGAAAAGTGGATTTGGTTTATTTATTTTGATTAAAAAAATAAATTATAAAAAATTAAAAGGAAGGATACCATACTTAGGTCACGTGATCCAATTTGGTTAGCACAGAAGTTGTCGGCGATAACTACGGGAAACATGTTTCCAAATCTTAACAGGAGATTGTTGGCTTCAAATAACACTTTGTTACATCAAAACACTACTACAAATATTATAAATCTCATGCATATCAAAATTACTCTATAACTTTGCTTTAAAAAAATGTTTTATCAGTCTTTTATATTTAATTCGTTAAGAGACAAGGTTATTTAATTTATTTGTTTTTACTTATGTCTTATTTTTTTTTTCTTATCTGATAGAAGGTAAACCAACCTCTTATTATCCTTTTATTGTTCTTCAAATCCTCAACAATGACGTTTTTTAATCGATTAACCTTAATCGATCATTTCTCTCAATAAATCTTTACCAAATCAATCATCATCTTTCTCAATTAATGTATTTTAATATAACGTAAATGTGTTAAACACCGTTAACAACACATTTTTGTTTAAATGTATGTTAATTATATAATTTAGATGTGAATTTCATAATGATGATGAATAAATATTTGAAATTGTATAAATTTATCCATAAATTTAACACTATAATTTTTAATGGACAAAATAGATAATTTAAACAAATTCAAATATTTTTCAATTTACAAAAACAAACAATCTTATTGATTCAGATTTCAAACTTTAGCACATATTCTCCATCTTTCATGAAAATTAAAAAGTCATTTGTACTCGTCAATTAAGTTTGAATAATCCTCAAATGTTTTAAAATTTTCTTTTTAGATATTTTTTTTACTAGGTAGTTTTTAACTCAAAGGCAAATTCATTTTTTTTTTCCAGATGATGAGATCATTTAAACTATAAAATATATAATTCTTTTTCACAATATTAGTATAGATATGTTCGTTGGTTATTTATCCTTACATAAAAAAAAACTCATGTTCAAGTCTGGTTTACACATATTTTTTAAAACATAACATAGATATATAAGCAAACACCAAAATTTAAGCTAAAAACAATAAATTTGACAACCCTGGGACTCGAACTTAGGCCTTTTGTACAAATACAAAAACATTTACCATCTTAGCCATTAAAATCTTATGCTAATATTTCAGTTTCAAAAACTATATGATGACACTCATAAAAACAATAAGATGTCACCCTTCAGAAACATAACATTTTCTCTTACAAAGGAACCATAAAGCCATGACCCATGCAATCGTATCGTTGCATGTAGATTCATCCCTGCTTTAACCTCCCTCTCATCTCATTCAAATCAATTTAAAAGATTTAATGGTTTTATTTAATTTATTTGGATTTATAAAACATGACAATTCACATACATCTACGCATGGGAATAGGGCGGGGATGAGACCTCAATCCCCGTCCCCTTCCACATTCCTGCCGGGAAATATAATCACATCTCCATCTCATCCCCAATGGGGAAACATGACCTTTTTTTCTGTTTATGTAAGTTATTTTAAATGAAATATGTGAGAGACTATACATGTTTAAATCTCAAACATTTTCAATAAACCTAAAACCAAAATGAATTTAATTTAATACAAAAAAATCACAACAACATATAAGAATTAATAACCTGAACAACATAAATGAATTATCGCTTTATTTGAAATAAATAATATATATATATATATATATATAGTTTGTTTCAAATACAACCCGTCGCATTTGTACAACCAATACAACCCAATAAATTGATATATTTATGGAAATGATGAGAGTTCATTTATTATGATTTGAATATTTATGGAAGATAAATATGGTTCATTAATTATGATCAATACTTTATATTAGAAAACAATCAAAACTTCTCTAAAATCACATATTAATCAAATGAAATGGACGGTTGAGATTGGGTTGTATTGATTGCACAAATGTCAAGGGTTGTATAATAACCAATATATATATATATATATATCTCTCTCTCTCTCTCTCTCTCTATATATATATATATATATACATACATACATAACGGGTGGCAGGACGGAGAGTACGATACCTGTCCCCGTCCCCGGTTTGAGACAAACGGGGATCCCCGTCCCCGTCTCCATCTCCGATTTAACAGAGAATCTCCGTTCCCGACCGGGACGGATGGACCGGGTTCTCCGATGGATCGGGGACCATTTTCATGCCTACATACATCATTATCGCTTAGGAATGTTTTTGTAAATATATCACTTAAGAATATTTATTTATCTCTTATCCTGAATAAGAGGTGATATTATAATAGATTGAATTATATATTCTAATCAGTCTTTATATTTACTAGTAACGCATTTTAAAAAAAAATTAGGCTTTTGGGTATTTATTTGGAAAAGTTTAAATAATTTTCTATAGTCTTTAAACTATTTTTTTAAATAAATAAATCGTTGAATATTTTTTATTTTAAATGATTAAAATTTTAAATATTATAAACAATTAAACATTTAAAAATTGGTCATCTTATGCTATTTTAACAAAAAAAACTACATATAACTAATTAGAAAAGTTTTAAAGTAAAAAAAAACTTAAATCAATTTTACTGTTCTCAAGTCCTACACCATTCAAACCCTTCACAATTAAGGACAACCAACGCTCCTTCATCGCTTCATTGTTGTCCGTTCTCTATACTAGTCATTGTTTTTGTTGAACCCTATCATCCATCTTCCTCTTTCTTATATGCTTTTTGTATTTCGATTCTCCACTTTACAACATTTTGATAAAGTACGCATAGACAGATCAAAAAAAGGGAAAATTCTGAAACAAAAAAACTGATAAAAAAGGGAGATCGACGGCAGGGAACCAAAGATGGCGATAGAGAGCAGAAGACGAGGGGGAGCGATGACATTGGATACAAGAAGTATTTATGACGTAGGATTTGAGAACCATAAAACTGATTTAAGTTTTTTCTTTACTTTAAAACTTTCTATCCAATTACTGGTAGGGTTTTTTTACAAAATGTATGTAATCAGGTTTCTAAAATATCGATTATTTATTTAACATAACGAAATTTAATTATTTATTCAATCAGAAAAATAATTTAGAGATTTAATATTTTTCTTTAACTTATCCATTTTTATATTAAAGTCTATTTTACACATTTAGGAGGTGTTTGTGATTGCTTATAAAAGTTATTTTTTAACTTATTTCAGTCTGACACCGATGATAAGTTGTTTTCTGGTGTTTGGATAAGAAAAAAAACTGCTTATACCGGTGTCAAACCGGTAATAAACTGTTTTTGATAAGTTAATCCTTTCTGACTTATGAAAAACTGCTTATTACCAGTTTACAATTTTAACCCTGTTTTATTTAACTCCGGTTTAATACCACATAAATTAATAAGCACTTTTACAAAAAAAACATAAGTTGTTTTAAATAAGCAATCCCAAACACCCTTTATTTTGGAGACAAATAGAAGTCGAAAGAACAATTTCTTTTTGGATATTCCTTCATTTATTTCAAAAAGTTGCATACTTTTTCATTTGGGGTTATAAAATTAAAAGATATTTTTCTTCTTTAAAATTTTATATATTTAATGTCTACTTGTAAGTTGTAACAACTTATATATTTGTAGGATAGCCTCTGATATGGACTCCTCTTTTTTTATTAATTAAAATATCTTTTAAAATTATATATATATATATATATATATATATATTTATTTATACTATATTATAAAACATTTGGTTAAAACTCTTAAAAACACTTAAACTCTTAAAACTCTTAAACTCGTTCATCCCTAAACAATTTCATCCCTATCCGATTTCTTCTGTAACTGAATTTGTGTAACTAACTGCAGATAAACACAATCAAATACAGGATAAACATCTCATTTTAAATATAAAAAATCTAAAATATAATTAGGATAATCATTGAGTTCT